TAAATATTTATATATATATTTATATAAATTTATATATATATGTGTGTGTGTGTGTGCGTGTGCGCGTGCGTGTGTGTGTGTGTGTGCGTGTGTGTGTGTATCGATATATTCTTCTTTTTTTGCGTCAAGGTTGGTGACAAGAAACAGTAGTGCTCTGAATTGCAAAAACAATTAAAAAAATATATTAAAATCTTTTCCTTGATAACTACTTTTTGATATCCATAGAACAGTGTGTTCGCAAAGAAATAAGTTTGTGTTTGTTTTTCTATATTAGTAACTTGTTGAACTTTTTATGTCTACGAATGAAGAAAAAACGGGTAATTTTGGCTATTTTAGCAAGAATCAATAAAATTAATTATTATTTTTTTAAGCTTTATTTACATCTTTTGTCAAGGGCAAATGTGCAAGTAGAATAAATAAAATTGCACTTAACTTGCAACTGTTTTTATTTTTTAAACATGCATTTCAAATTCTGATTTTTTGAAACATTGTTGAATCTAAAAATATTGTCAGCTCATAATGGTCTTAAAACTGTACAGGAAATTGTTAGAACGAAAGGTTTATACAATAAAAACAAAATAAGCTAGCTGCGCATATTTGTGCAAAAAATATTTAAAATCGTTACGTAGAAATATTTTGGGTGTGTTAGACTAGAATATTTAATTTTCGTTATTAAAACTTGTATTAATTGACCTACAGTCATAAACAACAAACTACAGCCCAAAGTCAAAAAAAATTTAAAAATGTCTATTAAATAGTGTAATTATAAAGAAAAAAAAATTTCATTGCTTTGTTTACTACGTAAATACTGTTTTTTTTTTTTTTTTTTTTTTTTTTTTTTTTTTTTTTTTTTGCTTTAAGAAACTAAAGTAAAGACAGGCATTTGAAATTTTAACAACAAATTCATTTTTGAAAGTAATTCTTCTTACTTTGTTAAATTAAGATAGTTAACGTGTTAAACGAATACAACGACGTAAACAGAATTCATAAAAATTGCATTTTACTAGCTCATTTACTCTTTTTGAAAGCTTGTATTTCAATTTCTAATTTTTTAAAACTTCGTTAAATTAAAAAAAAAACGTTGCCCTCCTTTGATAACATTAAATTATCTAAATCATTAAATTGCAAGTAAAATGAAATACAAAAACAATTAGTTTTGCATATTTGTGCCATAAAGTATTTTTTAAAAAAATGAAACAAGCTCTCCGCTCTTGACTCCTGTTTCAGTTGTGTCAGGAAAACACAAATCGTACTCCTCAAGAACAGTGCCATAACTCTGAAATTCAGCATTTGAGAAAAATCTTATTGAGAATTTAATACTATAAAACTTATTCTGAAATAGACACAAAACTGGCACAGCAGCCCTCAGCTGGATAAATTGTGAGTTAGAGATGCTACATTTTATGAGCTTAATGGGGCACTTCATACTTATTTTTTATTGACATAACCTCAAAATTGCTGTTTTTTAACTTGTGTCACTTTTTTTGCCTGGGTACGATAGGTTTAAAAAGTAAGAGGGGCAAATATAATTTATCTTGAAGTTAATAGAATACAATAGTTTTGAAAAGTAATAAGTACAAAAGATTATTTCTGTACATGCAATGCAACATTTCCCTGCAAAACATGAGGAACATTTTAATAGTTTTGTAAAAGATCAACGTACTAATGCTGATGGAATAGTACAATCGATAATTTATTTGATTATCTCGATTCCAGGTTTTAATTCTGATATCAGAATAATTCTGTTCAATCTAAATTATAAATATTGATTTACGTTCAACTGTAAATAGCAAAACTCTTATCGTAATAAAAATTTATTTTTGAAAAACATATTTTTAAGTGATTACAGAAGTTGAAGCTCTTAATTATCAACTCCTGTAATCACTTAAAAATCTAATTGTACTCAACTAAGTTGCTTATGATTTTATAAGAAAAATCATATTTATGAAAGATAATAATTACATTGTGAAATTTATTAGTTTATTATATTATTTCTTTTGAATAATATTTCTTGATTGTTTATCATATAATATGAATTTAAGTAAATTTTCTAATTTCATACATGCTATTTTGAAACATAGGTCAGTGTGCCCAAAAGCAACATGATTTCATATAAATGTGTCGCATTTACGCCAAACCTGACCCTTTATTAGATTTTTTACCTGAAAATAGCTGAGATAATTACGATACCTGTTCTAAGCGAATTTTTCTTGCTGACGTTGAATTATTATTTGCAATTTAAGAAAAGATATTTCTCTGGGCATTTAGGACATTTTTGTCGCAATTAAGGTAATTAACCCTTAAATGCGGCACTCAAGGTACCACCCGGATGTGACAGTGCATTTCTACAATATTTTTATTCACCTGCTTTTATGTCTGTAACAATGAAATCTTACTATCGGAATTTCAAATAATCTCCGACTAGCAAAAATGTTCCATGTCTGAAGACAAGTTTAAATCGTTTCATGATTAATGCAAGCAGCATTTCTCGCCATTTTATCTCAAAATTGAGTTTATTGTCTATCGAAATTCCGACCATTTTAAACATGGCTAAAGTGCTTAAAGTCCAACTAGAGCTCTGATCTAGATGACTATGCAAGTGCTCATCCTTACTTGACTGCTACTTAATTAATTTACAGCGTTATTATCGTCAAAAGAAATTTATTGTCGTTGAAAACTGTGACAACTTTAAAATTATCTACAGTAATAATTTAATTGAAACTTTATGATGCATAATATTACAAGCTTCAAGCATTTTCTGATCGCTAAATAGGGAATTTATCGTCATTTTAACAGAGTATTGAGTTAATCGTCAGTCAAAATTCTGAACATTTTGAGTCTAGCTAGAGTACTTAAAATACGACTGTAAGAACTCTGCTCTGGGTGACTAAGTTTTCTTAGTTTTTAGAGAACTACGTGAGAGTACTTTGCATTTGAGTTCTATAAGAATATATCATTATATTAATATCGACAGGATAATATCGTCAAACTGAGACTTTGACCACTTTAAAATAAGCTGGAATTTTGCAAGTAGAAATTCTATGATTCTGTGCTGGTTGGTCTTACAAGTTTCAATTGTTTTCTTATTGCTAAAGAACAGAATTTGTAGTCATATTATTGCGAGATAACATTTATCGTAATTTAAATTTTTTCAACCAATTTTTTAGCAAGCTATTAACTGAAACCTGAATAAAAATTGTAACTGCACCTTTCTGCTTGACAAAAATAGTTTCAACTATTTTTTGACAGTAACAAAAAGCATTTATTATCATATTATCGCCAAATGGAAATTAACATCCATATAAATTTCGGCTATTTAAAGGTGAAATTTCAACTGGAGTTCAATGACTGTTGACAGCAGAAATTTCAATGGTTTCCTAACCATTGTAAAAAGAATTTATAGTAAGATGGAATTTATCATCAATCACAATTTCAACAGCTTTCTAACTAATGTGCTCATTTATTCTTTTGCTGCTATGCGCATAGTGACAGTACTAGCTACAATTGTTTCCGAGAGTTACGAGAAAGGAGAGTTTATCTAAGCAAAGCTATGACAACTTTCAGACTAGTTACTTTACTTAAATTTTAACTAGATTACTGGGCCTGAAACCAATACAAGTTACAATTTTGTCCCAAGTTACTAGTTTATAAATGCTTTCATAAATTGTGTACATGCATATGGTTCAAGTACATACATACATTTATTGGAGATACTTTACCTGTATGTGTAAATACTATGAGCGTACATGAAGGAAATTCATCAAAAGTTAGCTTTTAGCTTACATAGAAAGTATTTAACAACTTTTAACATTCTATGCATTTGTATACATGTATATTCTATGAACATACAATATATTTATTTACGCATGTAGATACAACACATACATATTACGCAAACGTATGTACATACTATGTACAGGGCTCCAAGAAAGCACCAAAAAACAATAAATAAATAAAACTAACAATAATAAACACATATTACTTAAAGTAGCGATTTCTTAAATCGGATCTTTACAAAAGAAAAAATAAACATAAGAACTTCAATTTGCAAGCAACTATGAATCAATAGGTTGTTCTCGCAGACGAACTATTTTTCACTTACTTTCAAGATATTCTTGTTGCTCTCACAATTTTATGATTCAATCTATGATTCAATCAGTTCTATGATTCAATCTTAGTGTCGAGGAGGTGACCTTAAATATGCTAATTAATAACTGGCAGACGATACATTATGTAAGGAAATCAGATACAAAAACGTACTCTGTGTCTGATTGGAAGGAATATATTTTTTTTTGGACGGATTCGGATTTCTGACCCCTAAAATATAGAAGGTAGCCAAAATCTGGGAAATATGGTCCTCATAGTTTGGTCAGGAGAGCATCAACGTTTGCACTCCATAATGTTAATTTTACTTTTTGCTGATTTCGTAAAATTTCGAGAAATTTTTAAGTGAATTGAAAATTTTTGCACACAGCTGAAAATTTGTTCTTCTAAAGATAATTCCATGCGGAAAATAACTTTTAGTAAATACTTTTTTTTATAATATTATTTAATAATGGTCGAAAAAATTTTTAAATTGCAAGGTATGCAATTTTTTGACTACTTGCATGTGTTGCGAGTGTAATGTGTTCTTATAGATTGTTTTCACTTATATAAATTGTATATAAAGATATATTGTAACTATATATACACACAAATACAGAAAGTACATACGTAAGTAAATACCTACGTAAATAGCTGTATTTTATATGCACAGTGCAGGCAAACTCTGCAGGCAGACACAAATATAGTACTTATATAAACATATTGTTACAAATATTTACGTACATATATTTCACCCAAACAACCTTTGAACGTACATATATTGTGTTCGTACCATGTACCGTAATATATCGCCTGTCCTATCGTACTAGAATTCCTACTGTAATCGTATATTATATTATTTATAACAGTTAATTTATAAGAGCTCATCATAATTATTTGTCATAGTATATTTTGATAGCTTTCAGTCATGGTTACATGTAATCACGATAACATTTAATCATAATTACTTGTTGCTACATCTTTTGATTAATTGTAGTCAGGATAACATGTAATATTTTATTTTGATCACATGTAATCATAAATACTGCAATTGTTTCTTGTTCTGACTGCATTCAATCATCCTACATGTAATTAGATACCATGGTGACTTGTTATCGTAATTACTTTTATTTGCAATTTTAAATAATTGATTACCTAGTAGTAATTATATGTAACTAATTACATATGTTATTGATTGTTTTATTTTATAACCGTCGTTGAACAGCCGACCCAATTTCATGGGTTTACGACTACTTACGTTCAACTCCGTAGCCTTGTAATTTTGAACCAATCCAGAAGACAAGGAAACTCCTGGATCAGTACCCCCAGAGGTATTGATTTGTTGTGGGAACATGGAGGACTTTGAGTCTCGACCATTTACTACACGGGGAGTCTTCGGCCGGCGAGGATCGAACCCACGACCTCTTGGATATGGGCCCAGCGCCCTACCGACCAGGCTATCCCGGCCCTAATATGTTATTGATTGGTGTTACCAACACCTAATTCTGGAAAGACTGCAGATAACAATGTCACATTTAAAGACTTCAAATTGTCGCAATTATGGTCACTCGCGAAATCAGACTCAAAATGCGACAGTTATTTCACAAATCCTCTAAATCTAATACAAGAGGTCTTTTCCTGTTTTTTTCCTTTCTTTTTCTTGTAGTAAATTAAAAAAGACGGTCAAGGCAGTGCTGTGGAAGAGATCGTATTACCTCTATCCGGGAATAGCTTCCTCCATTTTTAGGAAAAACGAGTCTCATTTAGGACATGTTAAGGGAGCATGAAAATAACTGATGAAATTGTAACGGAGAAATTGTCCCTTTTTTTCCAAACAACTAAAGGCTTTAAATTGCAATTTCACCTCTGGATTGAGTAAAATACAATTTCCAATCATCTATCAGGACAAAAAAAGGACTATTTCCATCTTTTCAGAACTTTTTTGAAAGGCGTAGCTTTAAAATCTGATTTTATTTTCAATTTTGATTATTTATAGTTTTTAAATTTAATAACAGAACAGATCAATATCTTAATTCCGCAGGAAAATGATATTCACGAAAAATAAACAAATGAACTCTAAGCAATGCATAAAACATCAAGATTGTATTGCTTAAAATGATTTTCAGAATGAGAATAGGATTTACAAGATGCTGAAAACGTAAAATTTCGAGAAAAAAAAGACATATTTCAAAAAGTTATGAATTAATCTCAGAGAAATATGCATGCATTTTTTTTATATTATCCCATATAAGTTTCGTTTCTATTTACGTTTTTTAAAAATATAGTAAAATAAATTTTATGTTGATATTTCAATGTTGTTTTATTTTCAGTTTGTTTTGTGACTTTTGCTGCCATCGGTTTTTGCACATTGGCATTTTTCCTCATATTTTTGAAAACGGAAGTCATGAATCACAACATTTACAGGGCAGCTGTATTGGAAGTGGTTCCCCATAGAAATTCATCTCTTTCATTTAGGGAATTGGTGATTAAAAACTTAGAAACATATGTATCCGCAGTAAAGATTGCATATGTGCATGTAAGTTATCTTAATGTATCAGCTAAAACTATGAAAATGCTAAAAGCTCTTAAGCTGGTTTACGTTGAATGTTTCTGATTGATTCAAGTTTCATGATGTTCAAATACCTATATCTAATTTATGAAAGTAAAATACAGGATCGATGATTCGATGATATATATATATATAATTATANTATATATATATGCCAAATTTAAGTCCAGAGTGATAGGATGACTGTGGTTGAACTGTGATGAGATAAAGCTATTATCCATACATATGAAAAAGATATCACCTAATAACTTTTGATTTAATGTTAAGATTTTCGCAAATTAATATTAATGGTTCAGAAGAGTGACCTCGAATATGATAAGTAATTAATGTTAACTATAAATTAAGTTGCAGAATCAGACATGAAAATATATTTCTTAATAACGAACAAATCTTTTTTCCAACGGATTTATTTTTTTCTTCCAAAGTCTGCTCTCTGAAGAATATGTGCCCCACAGGAGAGGTGCCGATGATTTTGGGCCTTTAATATTAATTTCACTACTTTCACTTTCTGCGCACTTAGTCATATTTCAAAAAGCTTTAAAGCTAATCTAAAAATCTTTGCACACAATCCTGAAGCAATTTTAATGATTATAAAAATATATTTCTATGCAAAAAAGTTTTTTAGTAATTTATTTTTTATGTACGATTAATAAATAACATAAAATATTATAATAAATTTAAATTTTTTTCATAAGGATTGAAAAATATTCAATTGAATGGTGCTAGTTTTGGACTAAAAAATTGCAAGAAATAAAAATAACATATGTTTAAAATTCCCTTTCACAAGAACTATACCATTATGCAATCCAGTAGCTCTATGGAGATAGTTGTTAACGAGTGAAATTGCTTCTTATTGTATCACACATTCTTTATTTCCAAGTTTAAATAGAAATATTATTTTTCAAGTTTAGTTGATTAATTTTTTAAATTCATGTAATTGTTCTTTTTTACGACAAACATATAACTAAATGCTCTTATATAAAATGATAATAATTTAAAATTTTATCTTTAAAACATTTTATTGAAAATGATCCTCTTTGATTTTGAAAAATTTTGACTTTGAATGAAAAATAACAAATCTGAATACGAACCAACTACGGGGTTCGGTGAGTTGAGTTAATTTTTACCATACCTTATTGTACTTAAAAATGCACTTGCTTCTCATTAACAAGCAAATGATGAAAACATTCGCTGAAAAATTTCCAAGGAGCGAGGCCAGAGACAAAAAAAATTCTTTTATTTTTTTTTTACTTTTCAACATACCTATCATGAATACATTTATTCTAAATTATATCTAATTATTATATATTAATTTCTCTTTAAATATTAAAATACTTACAAAATATTTAAGACATTTATACGATTTATTGATTTAAAACTCTAATTAAAGTGTATTATGAAAACACAATTTCATATATCTGCATCATTTATTAACAAGTGAAACAATTCAGAGTTGAGAAAGAGAGTTACTGATCCATTATTGTTTTATTTTTCAATATCATATAATTTATTTAATAAGTATAAATTAATTTTTTTTTCATTAATGAGAAGTGTTTTGTTTTCTTATAGGATGTTGATGTTATTGTTTTTCCCGAAAACGGACTAATTGGATCAATCAGGGAAAGAAGTAAACTAATATATTCAATCATGGAAAATGTACCTAACCCTAAAGAACAAAACTATGTTCCATGTTCGCAGACGGAACTGTTTAAAGACAGTCCTGTTTTGCGGATATTCAGTTGTTTGGCAGTATACGGGGGGATGTATATTATTGCCAACATGATTGATTTCAAACCATGCAATGACTCAATGTTTGCAGCAGAGAATTGCATGAATATGGACTGTCCTGATGATGGAATTTACCTGTTTAACACTAATGTCGTTTTTAACAAAGTTGGAAAACTTGTTACAAGGTATCATAAGCGACATTTAACATTTGAAGACTATTTAAATCCTTCGAATTGCAAAAGTGATGGTTATTTTGAAACTGAATTTGGAAAATTTCTCACAAGCATAGGTACAGATTTATTTGATGAAGAATCAAATAAGGTCATTGAGAAACTTCTGCCTGACACCATTGTCTACCCAACGTGCTGGGAAGATTACACACCATTAGAATTTCTGTCCTCTCCATTCCAATCATCGTATGCTTTTACCCGTAACATAAACCTACTCTCTGCAAATATGTATGATATCTCGACCAGTAAAACGAGAAGTGTAATATATTCTGGTACAAATGGTCCTTTAATAGTTTCAAGCGGCCCATATAAACACAATACTCTATTAATATCGAATGTGCCAAAGAATCCAAAAGACTACAGCAAACATTTTATTTTACGACGAAAAAAGTTTCTAATAAGCAGCAGCGATTATTATGAAGTGGATTTCAAAGAGTCAAGAGATTATAAACACAAATGCGAGAGTAGGTTACAAGCCAAAATCGATAAAATATACAAAGGATCCTACTGTTACCCAATTAACTCAACTGATTTGAATTCCGTTAAGCTCAAAAACTCTGAAGACATCATAAATATTTGCATGAATGGTCTTTGTTGCTCCCTAACGTATAAGGCAAGAAAAATAAAAGAAGATTACTTTTTCTTGGTTTCGTCCTACGATGATACATCATCTGATGGCGCAGCAGCTAAGTATGAATCATGCATTTTAACACGATGCATATCAATGGAAGGTAAAAATTGCACGCACTTGACATCTCAATCTAAATCAATTTTTGATGAAGTTCAAGTGAAAGGAGTTTTTAGAAGTAAATATGTATTTTCTGTAGCCTTAAAAAGTGGTATCAAATTAACAGGAGAAAATGAATGCAAATTTGATGGAATATCTAGCATTTCTTTTAAAAACAGTCAGAATAATTCTCTACTTACTTTTGGCCTTTTTGGCCATAGTCACAAATGAAAAATTAATAAGTGTTATTCAAATAGCGATTATGATGTTGGGTGGTGCCTAAACACCTTATTCGCAACTTATTTTTAAAGTTGCGGTAGTACGTATAAACACGCTTGGTGTAACGCAAACAAATTCTGGTGCAACATGAACCTTTTTATTGATCTTCAGTCTGCTGATCCTTAAAATAATGTTAGAAATAATCCAATTGAAACTGGCCATGGTAATCTGGAGGTAATAGGGAATACTGTTGCTATTAATTCTATCCTACAGAAATTGAATTAGATTAATATGAGGGTAGTACCCAAAACATACTCCTTGCTGCATATTATTTAAATTTTGGTGGAAGAAGAATTGATGGTTACTGAGTGGAATATTCGTTAATAAAACTCACTTCTTCATTAAGCTTGAATATCCCCTGATTTAGATGCACAGAATTCTCTAATAGCAGTTAGATACTGTCTAAATTTATCATGAATGGAATCTGTGTACCTCCATCGCCACATAAATTCGGCGAAATACGAATCGGAAATGGTGTCTGTGGTACCTGACAGGAGGTGACATTTTTTTCTAAAGTCCCTTTTTATGACTGCCCACAGACCTTCGATCTTTTTGACCAGAAGCAAAAGTAATCTAACCAGCTAGTATCTAATGTAGAACTAACGAACCTCTGAAATTACATATACCATTGAACATTTAAAAATAACGCTAAAATCTAAACCTATCAGAATCACGATTGGGTTCCAACATCGCCCAGCTTGGCGATCAACCGCGATCACAACTTGGCGAGAATCAAGGGGCACCCTCAAATATAGTCTACCCGCTTTATTTCATTTAAAATTTGCTTTAAAAATCTAAATATACGAGGAAAAACTGTTTTGTGATTTTTCATATTCGTATTCTGAGTCTCACTTTTAGGCTTCAGGCTCATTGTTACTATCTATCATTGGAAATTCACCGGATTAAAATCCACTTGCAATCACAAGGTATATCTTCCAACCATATATATTCTTCTACTTTCTACAATATTGAAGAATTTCTTATTATCAACAATGAGGCAGCTTGGTATGAGACTTCTAGGTTGCGGATTTATCTTAGCGAAGTTCACGGAAACAGGCTTTCTTGTTAAATCAATTTGGATAACATCTTTTCTAGAAGTCGAGTCTACTGTTTTAATTAAGCATCATGTCGTGTGTTCTTGCATCCAGATTGAATTTAAACTGTTGTATTTGAGTTACATATAGCTATAAATTTTGTACTATGCTTTACTCAATTACTTTAAAAAAATAAAATGAATATGGCATGATGTATTCTTTAATTCAAGGTTAAAAAGTTAGATCTAAAATATATGCACTACATATAATGGACATATTGCAACTGTATTACTTGTGCATACCTGCCAACTTTTAATCCTTTCAAGGATGATTTTCGCCAGTGGTAGTGAAACAGAATTTAAAATCCAATTTTAAGCAGCAACACTCGTTGTATTTTGAGCGAACTTATACGGACTATCACTTACTTACTTACTTTATTTACAAAAATTGGGCACCTGGGCCACTTAGCGGCCCCTATCCCATACATCTAGAAATTTNGTGAATTACGACCAGAGAGTGAGACCTTTCCACCACGAGCTGTTTTATGATACGGCATGACTTGAAAAAACAAAATGGCGGGCTCAAAATCCAGACATCAAAATGGCCAGTTGTCAGTATTGTCTCTCCCGACTCAGGAACCTGACGAGATCAAAATCTGTATCACTCACCTCGTAACGTTCAGGATAATCAGCATCAATTCAGCATAACCGGCATCGCAAGGGAGAAGAGAACGTCAGTAGAGCATGATCAGCATCAGTTATCGGCAGCGTTTTTGCATGGCATCATTTCGAAAAACTCTTCCTTAAAGTGACATCACCGCATCTAATCCGTGACACATGACATCATAAGTCAGTATATCTCGAGAGCAGGAATCAGCTCGATCGGTCTATCACTATAGTATTACATATTAATATATATGTTTAATTTTTTTAAAAATAGTGGTGGATCAAAAAGATTATAAATCAAGTTTATGAATGCAAGGAATACGTAGAAAGCATAGGTTTTACTACCACTTTAAATATGGAAATGAAATTTTACCCTGAATGCGTAAAAGTTGGCAGGTATGCTTGTGTATATTTTTATGATGTTTTAATAAAAAGAAACTTACTAATTCTTTCTACAACAACTAAAAAATTTGAATAAAAAATAAAAATTTGAAAAATAGTAAATAAATAAATTTGAAAAATGAATGAATTATGTACATATTTAAAATTTTGAATTGGTTTTTGAACTTCTGAACAGAATTTTTGAACTCAATTAAAATAAATAAGAAAACTTTTCATCAGGATCATATAGAACTAATTACTTTGAAATATGAATGCCAATTATTAAAAATAGTTTTTTAAACGTAAAACATTTTATAAAAACAGCTCTACATAAAAATAAATTCCAAACGGGCTACAAAGGCGTTCTTAATGGTTCAAACGCTTTGCGATTTATTCAGGAATTTTCATGCGTACGCGGAGAAAAAAATTTGGTTAAAATTACCCTGCCTGTAAAGTCATTTTCGGGGGAAGAAACCACATCTATGATAAGAAAACCAAAATATACAGTATTTAAACCATCCATTTGTAATTGATAATTCGCTATGGTAACGGTTTACCAAAAATTCTTTTGTTCTATATTATAGTTCTTATTACCATGCATTTAGTATCAGATCCAAAACTGAAAATTTAATTTAACAAAATAAACGGTTTTAAAGCCATGCACTAAAGTATCACGCTAAAATTACATAAATGTTCTTCGGAATTGTCACTTATTATGCCATTTAATTGGTAATTTTGATGTTAATGTATTTTGCGAAGCAGAATGGTTATAATCTAGTTACACTTTCATGTTTTATTTGAAATGGTGGTTAATTGAAAATGGTTGATAGAGGTTCGATGACTGTTAATTATTTCTTATTCTAAAGTAATTTTTCAATTATAAAAAAGGGTAAAGGGACATGAATGTTCCTTTGAAAAATTCGTCAAATGTCTAATTAAAGTATTTCAAATATACTGAAATCAAAATTTTTCAAACTATGGTAACTGTTTTATCCATCTCTTATGGAGGGAGAGAAATTCATTTATTTATTTACTTACATACATTTGGGAATTTTTTTGTAAATGCAAAGATCCTCTAAAAAAATGCTTTCAGCCTCAAAAAACAGATTTCATAACACTAGGAAAGACAGCAAGAATGTGCATTCAATGTTGTAGAGATATTTGAACCCCTTACCTCACTCCTCACAGTGCTTAACGGAGCAGCAATATTGCACGGCAAAGTGCAAATAAAGCAACCATATATCAATAAAGCTTTCATTGCAGCTGAGAATTGTCTTTCCGTCAAATGCTTAAAAACGTAGAGGTAGCGTGTTCAATATCTTTGTGCTACTTTTCTCATTTTTGTGCTATCTGTTCTGCAATTTTTTAAAATTAAAATGAATTAAATCAAAATGACGAAGCTTTAACATTTTTGAATTTATATCACAAATTCTTGAGGATTAAGATACTTCGCAATCCTAAATGCAATTTTCAAAAAATTATATTACAATGGCAATAATATTTTCTAGTTACTAACAATGAACTAATATCACAGTACGGCAAAATATTTTTTTCCCAACAAATTATCACGATGATCATGATGAATTGTCAATATTTCATCGGTCTTCACGGTGACTTAACATGCAATGAAAACAGGGATAGACATTCAAGTCACCGAAAATATAGTTTATTATACTTAGTATATATTCCTTAGTATATATAAAGTTTATTATACTTAAATCTGTGTTTGTCAAGTTTCAAAAAATTCACAATTTTTCTGATGAATTAATTCTATCACTTGTTGACCTCACGAAATTTAGGTTTATAGAAAGTAGTTTGGGACCATGTTTTGGAGCTTGTTAGCATCTTTTATTTCTTGGTGGTCAAGAATTGAAATTATTTTGAAAGAAAAGTATATTTATTCCGAAAAAAATATTTTTAGGGTCAAATTTATGTTAGTTAATGGTTTAAAAAACGTATCAAAACGATCCATTCCTTGTTCGATTCGCTCACCAACCACCGTGATTGACATCATTGAATATAAAGGGAGAATAACGGTTGATACCCAATCTTTACAAAGGTTAAGATTAGATTGCCAACTAATGAATGTTAATAGAATAACTAGATTTTGGGAAATTGTGGCGTAAGTACCACTACGAAAATTAAGCATCAATTCACTGGTATATAGGACATGCTAACTTGATTCAATCATGAGGTACCTTTTGATAGATGAAGGTTGGTCGATAGCTCCTCCCCCCACTTTGGTGACCTTCGGATGTTATGCGAACACGCAAATCTTGACAGTAACGCCTACTTCGTTGGATGGTTCACATTGAACAGTTGACTTGCTACTTGTGACTGCGACATAATCCACCTCCTCACGCTGTTGCTGCTCAGTCTCGTCTCGATCATACACAACGCCAGTCTGCTTACACTTGACTTCTAAAGGCAACACAGGAGCGACTACGGCCGTGAAGTTAATACACATCTCACATTCAGCACTCAAAAAACCCAGTGATCTTAATTCCAGCTCTCCCGGTCTTTCACAAGTACAGCAACTAGTGGTATCCGTTCATCGAATTCTATCCCTGATATAATTCTGGTGGGGGAGTATTCTGGCACAACTACCACTACGAAAATTAAACATAAATTCGCTGGTATATTAAACATGCTAACTTGTTTCAATCACGAGGTACCTTTTGATAGATGAAGGTTGACATAGTCGATAGCGCCGCCCCCCACAAAATCAATTCTGTGGAAACTCGATACCTCGAGAGTTATAACTCAGTGAAGATAAGGCATGCCTTTAAAAAATAGTTCCTGTCCATGCATGTCAGTCTTTTCTTCTCGGAATCACTTTTAACGGACATAAACAGTTTCCCCCTTTTATCTTATCAGTTTTCTTTTCTTAACAGTCGATAAAAAAGCATTTTGTTAAGAAATTATATAATTATAATAATATTATGGAAGCGCATTTTATTTTAATAATTGTAATGAAAAGAAAAATAATCAATTGTACTTGAAAAAAATTAACTTAGGAATACAGTATATGGGACACAATAAATAGTAATAAATGGGAAGTTAAATGTTAACAATATATAACGATAACCTAATATCATAGAACAGTTTGCATTGGAAACAGATTTAATCTCTTTTCATGCTTTGTATTTTTAGAAACTTCAATATATATGCTACGATTTATATGTATTATATTTTTATATCTCTTAAATTTTTATTGATTAATTTTTTGCTAATTTTGACAAGTGAAGCACAAGCTTATAGAATCAAAATTGATTGAAGAAATAAATTTTCTGCAACAGTTTAAAAGCAATTATCATTTAAAGAAAAAAATGTAAAAAAAAACTTAAAATTTCAAAAACTTTCGAGCAAATTGAAATCTGGAAAAAATTCTCGCTAAAGATATAACTCAAAATGTAGCTATTATCATTTAAAATTTTAACTGCATTTCAGCGGACATATATCTCAAGAACATATTCGTTCAACATATCCTTTTTTATAATAAGTTTAAAAGCTAATAATTCTCGTTCTAATAATCAAATCATATTCTTTATATTCCAAAAACTTCTTGTAAATTTTTTTACTCGTTAATTACTCACTTCTGTAATTTCAAGTTTCTACGTTCTGAGCATAAAAGCAAAATGTAACGTAAATGTAACGTATTATCTCGTAAAATTTTAACTCAGTAGTTGCATTTCAGCGGACATATATCCCAAGGACATATTCGTTCAATATATCCTTTTTGATAATAAGTTTGAAAGTTAATAATTCTCGTTCTAATAATCAAATCATATTCTTTTTATTCCTAAAACTTCTTGTAAATTGTTTTACTCGTAAATTACTCACTTCTGTAATTTCTAAGTTCTGAGCAGAAAAGCAAAATGTAACGTAAAACAAAATAAATTGANAAAAAAAAAAAAAAAAAAAAAAAAAAAAAAAAAAAAAAAAAAAAAAAAAAAAAAAACTCTGAGTCAAATTCATAAACAAATGTAGCCATTTCACCATGCCAAATTTTAATTTTTTTAAAATTTTTAACACTTTTCTATACATGTTCTTCTGCAACACTTTTCTACACACCTTAGTAATTTCAAGTTTCTATGTCTGAAAGTAGTGTTTCCCAAAGTGTGGTACGCGCACCCCCAGTTCCTCCTACCCTCATATGTGAAATATCTTGCAACAAACGAAAATTTCAAAAAATTTTTGTTTAAAAACAAAGCTAGCCATGAAAATTTACCATTACATATTTTTCTATTGGCTATTTTTCGCAGAGTTAACAATTAATAATTAGTGATGTCAGCAGCCAGTTGTGATTTTTAACTTTTGTGCATTTTTTTATAATAAAAATTACATGAATTTTTTTATTAGTGGTACACAGTGTTACGAAAAATTAAGAAAGGGTGCACAAAAGTCATACGTTCGGGAAACACTGTTTAAAATTGTTTGCATAGTAACACAAAATGCAACGTTTAAACGAACACTCGAAACTGTGGTGGTGTCGGCGGCTCTTACGATCTGTTGATATCAAGAGAAAATATTCAACATTCGGAGCAAATGAGATTTTCATCTTTTGCATTAAATAATAATAATTTGCTTCAAAGTTATCTTGGAAAATGTATTTTCTTTCTGCCTCATTGCACAACATATTTCAATATTGAAAAGAAATCTGCTTTTTTTTATTTTTTTTTTCTACATGAACTCACTCTAACACGATGCACGTCAATAAAAGTTTGGCTAATTTATAAGGCTCACGGAGACGAAGTTTGACGATAATTATTAATCGTCAAAAATATTTTTAGAATTACTTTTACGAACCCAAGTCTGCTGGTTCGATTCCCGGCCCAGACATCGGATTTTCGGGATGCAGAAAATCCTCAGTGGCCATGTCGTATGATTATGCGGAGCATGTAAAAGATCCCCTTAGTGCTTTATTGGCTCTTGGCATTTCCTGCAAAATTAAATTCCTAGTACACTTTAGCATCCAAATAGAGTCTCGGTGCTGCCATCTAGTGTGGCGGAAACTAGACGTCCAAATTAACAAGGCCAACGGTATCTCACTCATTGTGGTGGTCCTGAAAGAGTGGATACCACTTCTGGAGAACGCATTAGGTCTGATCATCGGGAAGACTGACTGTGCAGCTTATAGGAAATAAAAAAAAAATTTACGAACTAATATCTTGTTATTCGGTTGCACGTTTCCTTGCTTTCGCTACGCAAGTGAAACAAAAATTTAATGAAATCTAGTACTTTTATTTCACCGCAACCCTGTGCGTGAAATAGACTAGACCAATTTTCTAATTTACCAAACCCATCTTTTTGAATACCAAAATTTTAGTCAAAGGACTACTGGGAAAGTTCTACCACCCCGGTTACCCTCTGATTTAAATTTAAAGTTTCATTAGTGGTTTGTTTAGAATCTCAGCTCACTGTTTAAGATTTCCGGAGGATCAGAATGTGACTCAACAGCATTTCTACATCCAGTATCATCTGATGATCTTACAATCAGAATCACTCGAAAGTTTCACTTTTTAATGATTTTTGATGAAACTTTTCACTTCTTAAGAAGTTTACTTAGATTGTTAGTTATTTTTTCTTACACTCTTAAAGGACCGCACCCTGAGATGGTAAAATATTAACGTTTTTCTTGAATTTATTTTAAGTAATAGAGACAATGAAGAGACTCCTTGTTTAATTTATGTTATTTAGTTACAATTTAGGTCTATTTTAAAAAAAATTCAAAAACAAAATAATAAAAAATAAGTTGGTGGCAGCTCCGTATGTGACTGGTCATCAAAAAGTAGCACCTAACTGACCTCATGGATTTAGAAGTCCTGAAACATAAAAAAACGATTTTGTTTAAGCTTTCTGAAACATAAAGACATTATCTAAAAAGTAGCATAGTGGTTTTTTGATATTCGCAAAATTTCTAAAATGGCGGCAACTTAAAAAAAAGTTAAGTTTTTCATTAAAAAAAATATTCATTAAAATACTAATATAAAATCGAAATATAAAAATATCAAAAAAATCGTATGCTACTTTCTAAAGAATATGTTTCTACGTAATTTAAAATAAAGAACAGCTTATTTCGTTGTATAGATCATGAGAAAAACGTTAGGCCAGGTCAAAAAACAGCGTTTTGAGAAAAACGCGTTTGAAGTTTTGACTTATGTTCAATCCAGTAAATTATTAGATTAGTAATGACTAACCTTTATTCTGCAATTCCAGATCCATATATCTTCTCCGTCAACAGAATAGATGAGACATAAAAAGAATGTCGCCCCTCCTAACCCGGCCAACTGTATAACTTCCAAACAAAGTTAGGTACCGAGAAATCGTTTCAGAGAGATATTAGGAAAGGTACAAAGATTTGAAAAATGCCATAAAATTTTTTTCGAATTTTTTAAATATTCAGGGTGGGGTTCCCCCTTACAGTGTAAAAGAAACGTATTGAACTCATAATTTTTAACAAGTCATACTGAGGAAAAATTTTTAAAAAAAAATGTCACAAATGGTCGTAACTACCCCCAACAGACTATACTATATTATTGTTTTATTATTCAGCAATTTCAGAAAAAAAGCGCTCCAGGAAGGTGCTACCTATGAAGATTAAACTAAAGAGGTTCCTGCTAGTGTAAAAAGGGCAAAATATTGGAAATAATCGGAGCTCCTGCTTTTGTCTGGTGAAAGAAAAATGAAAGAAAAAGATGATTTCACTTATAAACAAATTTAATCGTTTGTAAGACGCTGATTTTAACGTTACTAAAGTATAATTAAACAAAATACATAAGAGAATTAATTAAATGATTGTAATCAAAATATAATTCATTTAGAATTCATAACAAAATTAATATTATGAATAAAATTGATATCATGAATAAAATAAATAATAAGAATATAGTTATTCATAATCAAATAACATATTTCATATTTTTTACCTTAATCTAATAGTCAAAACAAGACAGTGAAAATATTTAGGGATGTATTTAGTATTTATTTGTGTCTAGATATAAACAAAAAGCTTGTGCTGGAATAATAATGAACGATACTTTTATATACACCGTCCTAGAGATTCACAATGGGATAGTGTTAACAATCTGGGAAACATCCCTGACGATGATCCGGAGACAACATACATACGTCACGTCCCATTTTACAGGGAGGACACATTCACACACTATTAATCCATCTGCGGATCGTGGTTTTGACCTGAAACAGAGCAGGATCTATCTCCGATCCAGTACCCCCGGAGGTACTGATTTGTTATGAAAAATTGGAAGACTTAGTTACCCCGACAGATTTAGCGTGCAAAAGTCATCATTTTGTCTTCGGTCAGAGGGGATGGAATTATAAGGAAAGAAATTAGATTGGCAAAAGTCATCTCCCCCAAGATTGAGATTTGAAGACACAAATTTATTTTTCCTAATTTTCAATAACATTTAAAACAAAATTTTAACTACCATATTGAAAAAAAAGTCCACTTTTCGATTAGTCTTCTGAAAAAGCGAATTAAACTTAATAAGTTTAATATATTGAAAATCCTTGTTTATTTATCATCTATAAAATTTCACTCACGACTACGCAAAGTCAAAACTAAAGTAGAAAAATAATAAATTAACAGAAAATTGGGATAAATTTGTTACTTTAATCAGAATAAAATTATAATAAGTTTATAATTTTAATAATTTTAAAAATTGATAAAATTGATTTTAATAATAGTTATGTAAAAAATCGATAAACTTTTAAAACATTCATCAATTACAGTACTATTAAGTTTTATATGACTTAAACATTCTATTAATGTTCATTGCTCATTTGATCACGAAAAATAATATTTATCATTACTCCAGATAATTTAAGTATTTCGAAAGTTTTGTCAGATAAAATAATCTCACAAAAATAGATTTCAGAGATCAGACATAATTTAAAAGTGTAAATAAAAATAATCTCTAATAGCGCTGAGTCAGCATCTTCTGAAAGTGTTAATCACGCTATTAAAAAAAACGAAAAGAAAAGAAAAAAAAAACTAAGTACTTGATAGTATATTTAAAAAAAGTGTACTTCTAGTGTAATTTCGAGTCCTTAAACACAGATGCTGTTTCTCAAATTTCAACAGTTAACGCGATTACAACAGGTATTTAAACAGAGCCTAATCAGAGTTTATGCATATTGAATTGTATCACACTGAATTCAATTATTCAAAATGAATATCTTTTACATCCTAGTCTTTTTGACCACTACTTTTGCTCTTCCTTTCCCAGAAGATCTTGACAATGGTTTAATTCAAATGTCTGATATTGAGGAAGAAAGTAAGTTTTAATATAATAATCTTTTTCAAGCACTTGCCCGAAATAAGCAAAATCCAGAGTATTTCAAAAGTTAATGCACAAACAGAATTGCATAAAAATATACAAAGGTCCTTCGAGATTGCGGAAAGTAACAAACAAATAATTGTTATGAAATATACTAAATAACTCACTTAACTTAATGTTGATACCCAAGCTAAACTACATTTGTTCACTAAAACACACAATTCTGAATGTTTTGTACTGCTTTATGAAGTTTGAAGGAAAAAATGACATTTTAAAAAAGGATGTAATAGACTCGAGTAAATTTGGAGGATCAAGGTTTGGTATATTAATATTATTTATTACAGTTTTGCTTATTATGCAGACAAAGAGCTATGCAAAGTTAATTAATTGTTAATTTGGGTTTTTATTTTTATTTGAAAAATTATACAATCTTAATAATATGAAGACAATTTTATAACAATCTTTTTCTTCTTTTCTATAAGGTGCTGCCCCCAATGTAGACTTGGCTTGCTGAACAATGTTGTCTCAAATCTCCCTGATTTTAGCTTTAAATTTTTAGCTATCAATTTTTTATTACAGGGTAACAAGAAATTATAGGGATCACTTTTGTGGTTATCTACCACTAAAGTTTTAAAACCTTTTTACATATATAGCATACTGATCTAAAGCTCTACTATTTGACTTTCAATTGCAATACTATTTCATAAAATCACAAAAATGCTTTTGAAGAAATTTGACAAAAAGCTAATTGGTCAAGTACAAGCATTTTTAGAACTTCGATGGAGCCACAAGATTATAGAAACCCATTTTAAAAAGAAAGGTATTGCGATTTCACTCAGCCATATCAGTCGCATCAAGAATTCAAAACTTGGATCGATGCAAAATAATGCAAAACCAAAAAGAAGTGGACGGTCAAGCAAATTGAAGAAATCAGATTTGCAGAAGCTTGATAAGATGACATCAAAACCGGATCCTCCAACACAGACAAGCATGGCTAAAGCTCTTAACGGGAGTCAGCAAGTTGTAAGCTATCAACTAAAACAAAAGTTGAAGAAAAAATGCCATAAAAAACCTAAATGTCATCATTTAAGTGAGAGATCGGTGCAGATTAGGAGGCAACGCTTATGGCCTCTCTACAAGCTTCTCTGTAAGGACAGATGGCGAAAGTTCATTACAACTGATGAAGCTTGGATCTATCTATCTGATACCAATGCTAAATCTAAAGTTCAATATCTTAGCCGTGGACAGAACAGGCGAGACTTGACACCATCAACCACGGTGCCTCATGTCAAAGGCGTAATGGTTTGGATGGGCATATCCGCCCATGGTGTGACCAAACCTCGGTTTGTGAAACCTGGGGCCCAAAATAAATTTTGAGTATTCTATACAGAAGATATTAAAGCCCTTTTTTAAGGATTATTACTGCAGATTGTACTCTAATAGTGATGCTGTGTTCCATCAGGACTCTGCCCCATCGCATGCATCTAAGGTCACCCAGAAATTTCTAACAGATCAACAAGTGAAATTCCTGAGACCAGAACAATGGATTCCAAACAGTCCTGATGCTTCACCATGCGACTATTTCCTATGGGGACATCTGAAAAACAAACTGAATAAGAAAAGATTTTCTACATTGAGAGGCCTTCAAAGAGCTATTAGAGAAGAGGTGAAGAAAATCCCCCAGGAAATCATTTTGCGGTCTTTAAAATCATGGCCGAAGCGTTGTAGACAAATCTATTATGCCGGAGGTCGACATATTGAGAAACATCGCTGAATTTATGTAATAAATTTTGGAAATAAAAACATTCAAAAATGATCCCTATAATTTTTTGTTACCCTGTAGATCTTCAGCAACAGCATTTTACCATCGCTTTCTGTGTCTTAAGTTCATTGGTTTCCAATTTAAGATATTTCTCAAACCCATATTTTTATCATTTTTTCCATAAGGCTCAAGGATGACAAGAGCCTTAGTTTTTTGAATCGAATATTATCCTTTTATAGGAATTGCGATGAAATTTATGAAAATAATAATTGTCTAATTTATATATTTCAGTTGCCAGAGAAGCCATGACAAATCCAGATTTACTTGGTGGAGATATGCTTGGTGTTAAGGAAATTCTTGTAAGTAGTGTTTGGTGGAATCACTTTATTTCTTTTTACAAATAAAATTTTAAATAAGTCTAAAAACATTTTTAATTAGAACGGGTAAATTAAAAAAATTTAAATTTTCATTTTCGAAGAAAAATAATTTTATCTGAAACTGTTCTTTCTGTTGCGGTTTTGTAAGGGAAAAACAGTCTTATAAAAATTATAAAGTTTAAAAGTATTTTAATTTTGAGATTATTGTTCCATGAGGAAGCAGGTTTTTCTGTACAAACTTGCCCAAATGCAAACATCTCGGTCAGTTCATAATATTGAAACACCTGATTTTAAAACTGAAGTGATCAGAGAGTAATCATTTCTGCCTGATTAACTGGTCAATTTTACTTCAGCGCATAATACCTATCAAGAAAGGTCCCTTTAAATTTACAAAAATATTGTTTTAAAAAAATAATAAAACTAAAATTTAGTGAAATATTTACTGGAATTTTAGGAAGATTTTGAATGTAAACGTATCTGTCTCTCTCATATAACTTCGGACCGTTTGTGACATTTTCCTAAACTTTGGAGAACAGGACAAAAGGAAAATTTTTACCACTATCTTTAAAATCATTCACAAATTTCTACTGGATTGTTAGGAACAGAAGTTTGAAAAATAGAATTTTCTCCTTTGTTTAGCATTAGTCATTGTTATAATCTTAACTGCAGGTGAATCAGTTTTTTTTTCTTCTACATGTATAAAGAAGAGAATAGCAGTTAAGTTTGCAGGATTACAACTCCAATTAAAAAAGAAAAGAGTTTATTGCACGTTCTGTAGTATTTAAATACTTTTATTTATTTTGTCTGGTACGATCGATTATAAACGTGGATGGCATGTGATGTCATAAAAATAGAATTTCTAAAGCTATCCATAATCATGCTAATATTTTGTTTATATTTACTCTTTTGAAAGGTTATTATATAAAACAAAATAATATAAATCAACGGTAATAGAAGAAGAATAAAAATAAATTATGTACTAAAACGCAAAGCAGATCGATTTTGTAAATAGCAAAAAATAGCCAAACTAATATTTTTTATATTTTTTTGCATTTCGGGAATTTTTATTTATCTTTAATCTAAGTAAAGTAAACGCAGACAAAATCAGCGTTTGTAACGTAACTGGTAATAACGTACGATGACGTGAGGTGGAGTATGATGACGTAACGTAACTGATGTCACCAAATTAGTAGACACACTTTTTCTACGTGTTTCTGCACTGTAAAAAGTTTAGTGCATATCCACGTCAAAAATGGTGGCAATTATCTTACACCAAAGTGGTGTAGTGAAACACAATACATAACTATTGGAAATAGCGTTTTACTACACCAATGGTGTTTACACTAAATGGTCTAAAGTAGACGACACCATTTTAGTTATTTAGTAACAATAAATTCATAATAGTAAGATAAGATACATAGAGAATAAAGTTATTTTAACAATACAATTAGTTTAGCATGTATATATATGCACTAATACTTAAAAAATTATTTGTAAATAAAACTTGGGTGTATCATGGAATAGAATCTAGATAAATTCGAACTAGGCTTAACACAATGGAAACGGATAGAAATTATAAAATATAAAAACAGTTAATTCAGTTCTCAGAGATTTAAAAATTAAAATATAATTATCTTCATTACAAAATTAAAAACATACATACTTATGAAGCGGCAAATGTTTGCTGTTGATGAATATCAGTGTCGAGAATTACAACTACCTCTTGTCAGCTGTTTCAAAATTGTAACCGCTCTCGTTTTCCTTGGTGTTTCTCAAAACTCGCCAAGTGCCAAACTTGGTGTTTTAGGAAATTAGAAATTTCTCGTGTGGTGTAAAAGCATGATAGTTTGGTGTAAGATTATTTATCTTTAAGTGTTTTGATTTAAATTATTCCCTTTTAATCATATATAAATACTTGATTTGATGTTAGCCCGGAATAAAGTTCCTTTGTAGAATTTTTTTGGTTGTTCATCATCAAAATTGGAGAGAAATTACAAATTGTACAAGGTATTATACTTTACAAAATAACGTAAAGTCAATAACGATTAGAATTTTAAAAAAAGAACGTTGTTTATTAAAGTTAAAACTTATTGGAAAAACTGTTTGATTATAATAAATCTTGAATATTATGTGTCGGTTGTGGTCAATCTAAAATATCATTACCTAGTGTAACGTGAATTCGTTACGCTTGTTCGCACGTAATCATATTTTTTTCTTTCGTGCCCTGATTTTTTTTATTTATAATAACATTTGAAATAAAAACAAATAATAAAAAAGCGTGATTATTTTTAATTGACTTGTTTTATGCTGCTTTTCAGTTTTGCACATGATAATTTAAATTTTAAAGAAGTAATTTATTTTTTTTAAACGAAAAATTTTACAACTACGCTACTGTGCAAATTAATTGGGACAAGCTCAAAATTTTTCACAAATGTTGTTTAATCACTATAAGTTAACTTACAAGCATGGTATAGCAATCTAATATAAAATATGTCCTCCTTTAGCTCGATATAGATTTGGTACTCGGTTTGGCATGGATTCTACTAAATTCGAAAATAAATTTTTGATCTCGTCATCGTGAAACCAAACTTTTATAACATTCTCAATCATTGATTTCTTGGTTGAGCAGTCCATTTGACTCACACGTCTCTTCACTATACTCCAAAAATTTTCGATGGGATTGAGATCAGGAGAATTACCTGGCCAATCCAAAGCCTTTAATTTCTGTTCTTGAAAAAATTTCTTTGTCATCTTAGAATTGTGGCAAGGAGCAGGATCTGGTTGAAAGACGCTAACACCCCCAGCGAACGTTTGCAACAAAGGCACAACTTTTTGTTCTATTATTGGAATGTACTTTTCAGAGTTCATCATTCCTTCAATCGGTACTAAGCTGTCAGGTCCTCCAGAGGTAAAACAACCCCAAAACATATGCTTTTAGGGGTGCTTAACTGTGTGAATAATATGCTGTTCACTTATAGGTTCTCCAGCACTTCGTCTGACAAATCTTGGTCGAAACTCTTGTACCAAAAAATGCGTTTCGTCGCTGAATATAACTTTTTTCCAGTCTTGTGCAGGATTTATATATCTTGGCCCAAATCAAACGTTTTCTATTCATTACAGATGTTAATAGCTGTTTTTTTTATTGGTTTTCCTGCAATTCTCCCTGCTTCATTAAGCCTTCGTCGGACTGTCGATGTATCGATGCTCACACCAGTAGCTGACAAATCTCTCTGAAGGTCTGTACTTTTTTGCGAGGATGCATTTTACTATTTCGTAATAGAAATTGTTCGAGGTGTCGTCTTGCGTTTGCGTCCACATTTACTTTTTCGTTTCGGAGACACTGTACCCAAATTCTTTTGCATATGAATAATCCTCGAAACACTCGATTTTCCAACTCCAACTGTTGCAGCAATATCCCTTACAGTCATAGATGTATGCTGACTAAGCGTAACAATTCGAATTCTTTTCCTGGGACTGATATCCATTTTTTTAATACACGTCAGAAACAAACAATTCGCACAATCGACCGCTCCTGACAGCAACTGAAGCGCGAATAAAGAGTAAATTTTCGACACAAAGATGATCATGTTGTCAAACCGGCTTAAACCAGCCAAAAGCAACCCCATGCTGTAAGAAATAGCAGTTCAAACCGGTTTGGGCTGGAAATCTCCGAGAAAAAAACAATTTTCTGAAAAAATTTGTTTGTCCCAATTAATTTGCACAGTAGATTCTTTTTCTGAAAATATTCCATTATTTGCTTTACTTACTTTTCTCCTTTTTGATGCAGTTTAAAAAATAAAAACAATAAAAATATGCAGTAATTTTTTGTTACTTTAAACTAAGAAATTGAAAAAAAGATGTTTTATTTTATTTGACAATTCCACTGATTGTGCCTACTGGCGTGTCTATATATACTATTATCTAATACTTGGCGAACAAAAAACAAGGGGTGCGCTCAAATGATCAGAAAGTCGGGTCCACAATCGTGGTTGCCGGGAGAAAAGTGTTGCACCAAGCAGACTCCTCAATTCTGCTTTTAACATGTAAAGTCTATGGCGGGCTTGTCATACTTTGAATCGATTTTTCTTGTTCAAGAATCGGAGTGATCAATTAAAAAAAAATACTAATAATTTTTTCAATCTTTCCTATCCACGAAAATGTAGGTTAATTTTTTTAATCTTTATTACTTTTTGTAATATTGCCTTTGAAACACAAGTCACTTTCTACCTTTGAGTAAGGGAGGAAGGCAACTTCCACCCCCAAGTTCACTAATCTTCTCGGTGGGAGGTCTTGCTCCCTTTTGAAAATCTTTTTCTCTCTCTGTCCTTCTGAAGAACTGATATGGGGAACGCTTTAAAAACCGATAGCTTTCTTTTTAGTTATAAGCTTGTAATTTATTATGAAAATTATATTTGCTGATAATTCGTTCATTCTATATACATTTTATTTATTTAGTAGTAATAATTTTCTTGTTTTTATTCATTTTGAGAATGGAATTTATTTTTTAAATACATTATTCCCCTTTTTTTAAACTTTGTTTCTTGTTTTTTAAAGATGTTTCAGAATTAAAAAAATTAGCTGCTGAATAAAGTGAGATTAATTAAAATCGAATAAATGACGTAAAGATCTTCCAATATACTATAAAGCATCACAAAACTGCAGTTTTCCTTTTTTTT